TTCCCCCCAAAGAAAAAGAAAAAAAAGGGTGGCACACCCCAATTATTGAGAAGCTCTCATCTAGGTGCAGCAGAGTAAAATAAGAAATTAAAAATAGTAAATCAACATAATTTCCTAACCTATTTGCACATCTTGCTTCTGTTTTTGTTCTTGTTGTTGAAGATACGGACCTCCCTGCCTTTAAACTAGCACATGGCATAGATTTAGACTTGTTTGTTATGTTAAGATTGAGAGCTTGTCAAAAGAAAGAAGGTCACAGAGATATTCCAGTGTTTCTGACTCACTATGAGCCTGTTGGCAGCAACCAGGTGTTTCCTGTCAGAACATTTTAGAAAGCAGGAGCCAAAAAAGTAGTATTTTTGTGTGAATTTGTCATGGGAAACAACAGAATGTTTTAGAAATGGATAAAAATAAAACATCATATTGTAGTTTCCAGGCCCAAGAAGAAGCGTTTCCTTCAAACTGTCATAAAAGCATCTGGTACCTGATGTTCAGCTGCTCTTTGTTCACTGACATCATGGCGTCTGAGTTACTACTGCTCTCTGTTGTTCTAGCCGCAGAGCAGTAAACAGTTAAACGTGTCCAAGTAAATGTCTCGACTCCCCAAGGAAGTTGTGTAAAATTGATTAATCCTTCAGTAAATGTGTAATCGATCAAACTCTGTGTGGTGGGTGGACTACATCAGCCAAAGCATATCAGATTTATGATCAAATCTCAATATTGGCCTGTTCTATAAATCACCGTAAACCACTCCAGAGACTGGCGATCCTGTCTGAACCTTTTGTGGCACATTAGTTCTGCTGATTAAATGACTGATCACTCCTGCCAGAACAAAAAAACGAACATGGCCGGACTGCAGAAAGCCTCAAACGAGGAGGAGAAGAAGGACAAGATGTTTCAATTACCTAAATGCGTCCGGGCTGACTGATGGGGAAAAACATAAAGTTCTCAATCCGCTCAACCTGAGCATGACTTTTTGTTCATCTGCTCAAAGGAAGAAAACCCAGTGTTCACGGGTTTTCTTCCACTTAAACAAAAATGAAAGACTGTGGATGAGAGCCTCCGACACTTTTGACAACTATCTGAGAAGTATAAAGGAAGCTGTTTAGGTTTGACAGACGGAGGTGAATTAGGAGAAACAAAGTAGAAAATCTTCCAGAACTGCACAGAGACGATAAAAATGAAATCACAAAAATAACAAGTCAAGGAGAAGACGCGCACAGAGCGAAAGAGCAGAACAGGAAGTTAAAAAGCATCAGAGTAAAACGTAAAAGTGAAAAAATAACCCAATCCAAAGGTTAAAAATCTTTAGGTCACCTCTACTGTTAGATTATTTGTCATTTATCTAGAAATAGTGTAATTATAGAATCATTCATAGAAACATCCTGTAAGTTAGATCAGATCCATCACTCAGCATCTGTTTAATCTTCTTGCAGCCTGAACTGAGTCGCTTATTTTAACCTGTAAAGACCTTTTATTAGCCAATATTAACATGTGTTTGAAAAGACCAACACATTTCTGCCAGGGGTGGGAGAGACGATTATAATGAGGGATGAATCTGAGCTTAGACCTTTTTTACTGAATAAAAGCAAAACCATAAAGTCTGCTTTATTTAATACCGGAGAACGTTTTACCCTCGCATGTGTGCAATTATCTGCCCTAAATGACACGTTTGAAGCAGGTCTTGTGCAACATCCATTTATCCTTTACGGTGGTACGTTATTATGGCTTATAAAGGCCAATATGTTCTGTATTTAATATTTTATTTATGAGTTGGTGCAATTTTCATGTTTCAAAGAAAGTTATTTGTCCAATAACAAAAATAATGATGCTGCAACAAGTTTCTAGCGTTGATCAAACATTTTCTTTGTTTTACGTTTTGTCTTTCATTTAAAATTAGTTTGATTTTTAATTGCAGTCATAATCTGGACTCACCATGTTGAAATCGGTGTGGATGAGTCTTACGATTGCACCCTAACCCAAGCCCTAAACGCTCTAAAGGGTATGGCTGCTACACCGATCACCCCAAATCCCCAAATATCAGCACTCATGACGAAAACCGATCAGCACGGTGTGATTCTGAGTTAGGATAGTCCAGAAAAAACAGAACCTGGAAGCTTCCTGGAAGCAATCGTTGCATCATGCTAAATGGTGCTACATCACTACAAGGTCAGATAGTGATGCTCCTCTAGGCATTATTGTGTCTTAGCAGAAATTCTGTATCTGAACACATTTTCCAACCTAACTAGTGGCGGACATCTTCATTTTAGCTTCAATTTTTGTATACAAGCTAAAAAATAAAAAGGTTCTTGTAACATCTAACTGTAATTCAGTGATTTCAGCTCTAGACACAAGAAGGCAAGTTAATGTCTCAATGTTGGGTGAAGAAATGATAACAACCCAGCTAACATCCATGTTACATTCAGACGTGTAGCTCCAGGCTGTAATGGTTGCACACGTTTCTGTGTGTTGACACAGTCCAGGTATACACATCCAGGTGTAAATTACATTTGGGAAATGGGACACTGTTTCAGACCACACGTCCTGAACAAGCCCTAAATAAAGCCGTCTTCTCTCCATGGTGAGCTCTTAGCTGTATGTGTGATTGACTCGTGTTTCATTAGAGCTCATACTTCGTCTCGGCCTCGTCTCGCCAAGCCAGAATTGACTTTGTGGCTGATTTGGCTCTGAGCAGAAAAGTGATGATTGAAAAAGTTGAAACACACGAACACGCAGACCTACTGACTGACTGGGGCTATTTTTATTGAGAAATGTAACTAACTGCAGATGACTTATTCGTCGGTCTCAAATATTAAATATTTTGCAGCAACACGTGCCATCCAATTATTTTAAGACAAAAATAGGATGAAGTAGTCTAGTTCCTGGATGACGAGGCCAGATAATTATGCCATTTTAACTCAATTCTCCCAGTCTGTACTGATTGTTGTGTGATTTAAAGTAAATTTGGTCTCATGAGTTTCTATCCTCTCTAAATGGCTCAACTACTGACATAAATGGGAAACTACTATCACAGTCAATTAATGGATATTTTGCATTTACACACTCAAAAAATGTTCCTATAAAACTGTCATCTTAGTAATGTTATAATGGCCTGTGCTGCTGCTAATGCTAGCCCGAGTTACTGCTAGTGCTAGCCCAAGTTACTGCTAGTGCTAGCCCAAGTTACTGCTAATGCTAGCCCGAGTTACTGCTAATGCTAGCCCAAGTTACTGCTAATGCTACCCCAAGTTACTGCTAATGCTAGCCCGAGTTGCTGCTAATGCTAGCCCAAGTTACTGCTAATGCTAGCCCGAGTTGCTGCTAATGCTAGCCTGCACTACTGCTACACACACATGCTCACACAGAACACAGTTTCTAGATTCAGGCAGTCATAAAGTCATCGAGTAAAATGGCCAATCAGCAAGCAGCTCATTTAATATTCACGTTCTGATTGAGTTGGTGTGGTAAACCAGTCTTTCCATTGCAGGGCTTTATTATGGGGTTATTGTGGGCTCCTGGACCATTTTGAGCCCAAAAAACGTTCCATGTGCTACATTGAGGCTCATAAGTTTCCACTTGTAAATAAATCTCATCATTCTTGAACACCATGAAGTAATTATGATGTTTTTGCTTGATCAAGCAGCTGTATGGCTTACTCTTGAGTTGTATTCAGACTTCAGCAAGTATTAATTCAGACACTGTGCTCATTTAAAACACCTCTTGGACGCAGAGCCCGTGATATCAGTGAGAGAAGACAAGAGGTCTGGTTTGCTTAAATTTCAGAAGGCAGTTTATTACCATGAGCCGTTTGATCGAGTGTTTTGAGGCCATGGAGCTCGAGTACGAGATTTCCAGCCATCACTACATCACAGAACGCTTTCATCAAAGGTCCATGAGTCAAAACATGTATATTGACAGACTTTGGATGGGAAATGTGCTGGAGCATCAAAATTACTATGAGCAGAGTAGTACATTTGCCTTTTGTGAATCAGGTTTCAGCCCAATTCATTGAGTTTAGTAAGAAAAACGTGACAAAAATATAAGATCAGTGTATTATATGTGTTGTCCAAATCAACACCAACTATTGGCCCTCCTTCCTTCTTCTTTGACTTAAAGAATAAAGAGTGGAAGGTTTCAAAAAACTTAAGGCTGTTTGTCATAAGGAGGAAGTTCAGAAAATGGAACCAATCACACTTTGGTGAAGGTTTCAGATTCACATAATCTTGTTTTTCCTTTCTGGTTCATTTCCAGTAAAAGAAAAAAAGGGTTAGAAGAAAGTTGAGCAGCGTTTTCTACCTCTGGGTGTACCTTTCTTCTTTTCATTTGTCACTTTGTGTGACGGAACAAATCCAGAGAGTGAAGAGATGACAGGAAGAAGGTGATGAAGGAGGGGATTAGAGAAGATTGCATCCCTTTCATTCTCTCCTCTTTTCTGTTATGTCACTGTGTGATATGATTAAGAAAGAAAACATCAGAGGAAGGTGATTGGCTGAGGTGTTTTTTTTTACAAATCGAAAGAGTTGTGTAAAGTTAAAGGTAAAGGAGAAAGAGGGTGAGAAAGGTCCACTTACATCTGATAAAGCAGGTTTGACATGTTATCTGTTTTAAATGATCATTTAGCACAAATAATAAAATAAATATTTTTCATTACATTTGAGGTTTGACCTCCGTGACCTTAGAGAGTTTTTTAAAGAACTTTCTGAACAGGAAACAGCTTTCTGCAGCTTTAATCATTTCTTCCACTGACTGATGTGATTCTCTGATCTGAACCATTAGTATTTGTCGTTATGAAGACGCAGATTCATGTGTTGTCCTGTGTGGTGCTACAAACAGGCCATTAGTATGCTAATGGCTGTAATTAAGTGTGCGTTTGCTCTGTGGCCTTACAGGGTAATGCAGGGCTAAATGTGAATTGCTCATAAGTAATGGCTTCTAATCAACAATTTAACTTTTCACCTTTCTTATGCGAGTTTTAAACCTTTTTTTCTCCTTTCTCACAGCTGATATTCATCATGACCTGCTGACGTCACCGCCTCACCTCGCTCCAAAGGTTTCCTTCAAAATGGCTTTGACCAACTGGCTGTGGCGGCCATTGTTGTTGCTGTGGATGCTCATCCTCACTTCCTGTTTGGCGGAGTCAGCCTCAACAGCCTTTCCCAAAGACTTGGAGCCGCTCAATGTGGTCAGCTCGGAGCGTGAGTATACTTTATCCTGCTTTTATGGATATTTACTGACATCATATTTTTAGGTTATTTTTGGCATTTTAAAAAATAAAAGTATTTGACCTTAACCCCCAGAAGCCCAAATTTAGAAAACAACTGCAAAATCTTTTTTTAACCTTTCACATGTTGTTCTAGGAGGCCAGATAAACGGGCCTATTTACACATTTTAACAGCCAATAGTGTTGCAGAACTGAACAATAGGACCTATTAGCAATGTAAATGTGGTTTTAAAAAGAAAAGAAATGGGGAAGGTTTATTTTTGCAAACTTAAATCTGATGTTGTAATATTACAACCGTGGGTCTCTGGGGGTTAAATTGGAAAAACACATATTTTTTTCAGTTTACTTGGCCTTTCTTTAGAATTATTTTTGCTAAACTATTAGTTTTTAAGTTTTAGATATAACCGTGCCTTTCAGCATATTTTTCCTGCAACAAGTTTAAGTAAATAAGCAAATAAAGCTCCAATCTTGTATGTGTGTTTAGAGTCGTACCAGTATCCAGGTTTTCAGGGTTTGATCCAGGACAACGACACGTTACGTCTGGGTCTGGATTTTCAGAGAATGCTACGGATCAATCACATGCTGTACATTGCTGCGAGGTGGGAACACACAGACACACACACACACACACACACACACACACACACACACACACACACACACACACACACACACACACACACACACACACACACACACACACACACACACACACACACACACCAAAGAAATTGAGATAACTCAATTTGCAAGCTGGAAAAAAAAGTCTAAACATGATTTTTATTATTGTTAAAATAGTTATTTTAAAAGTAGCTGCTTTTCTTAATAAGAAAGTCAATTTAATAATCAGATTTGTGGAAAAAATATATAACTATGTATTTACTGCTGTAAATACTTCACATGCACTTATGCCTTTTCATTAGCTGGTTTATAAATGTGTATTCAAAAATTTTAATTGCCAATAAAAAAGTCTATATTTAAACTGTATATAGCCTTTTATTCACTTGTTTGTAAGTTTTTTTGTTTTACCAACATTTTCCATTGGGACTAAAATCATTTTAAATTTCATAAAAACAGATGTTAGATTTAAGTGTAATAACATATTTTTTTTGTTGTTGTTGTTTTAGCTGAAGTTAGTCCATGTTGTCCGTTTTGTGCTTTTACATTTTATGCCTTTTTTCCACATAAAACTTTGCCCAGAATTTTTGGATGCAATGTTGTGTGTGCCTAAAAAGTCCAAATCAGGTTTTTTTTTCAATTAAGTTCACTCATGAAAAGTCAAATGGATCAAAATCAGCATCTTTGAAAAGTAAGACCAAGAAAATATCCACAAGTGTTTGATGGGACTCATACCTAAGTTTGACTCCAGCACAAATAAAAACAACCACACGAGTGTGAAGCCGCACATCCCGAGAACCCGGTAAATCTTCAGAGATGTGAATCTGCACGGTTAGCCCTGACTCTGTGCTTTGAACTCCTCAGGGATCATGTGTTTGCTGTGAACCTGACGACAGCTTCAGAGGAGTTTGTCCCGCAGCTGGTGAGTAAATTTATACGATAAACAGTTTATTTTTGGGTTTGTTGCTTCAAGAGAGCACCGGCATTCCTACACAGAGTATTTTGAATGGAAAAATGACTTTGTTGGATCAGAGTTTCTCCATTTGCCCCGGAGCAGCAGTCTGCTTCTTTTTGAACTCTGAACGCGTTATCGTGCTCCATGTTAAAATGATTTTAAAGGTAAAATAAGGTGAGTAGCTTTTGAAGTGTGTTGTCCATTTTAGGACACCTTTAGGTTTCAGGAACACATTTTCAGACTTTAGACCAAATGGCTTCTCATGTCAGACTTTAAAAGTATCAATAAATGAAAGAAAATGTTAAATTTTTTGATCCATAGCACATATAAAAAGGCTTCAAAAGTCTCAAACTATGTTTTAAAATGTAACTTTTTTAATGATCTGTTTGAACAACGCATTTGAATTAGAGTTTATTAAAGATGATCATTTTTTTCACTTTTCAAATCTTGGAAACGGCATCAGTCCAATATTTCCTCCAAGTTTGTATCATAAATGGTAAATGTCCTGTATCCGTATAGCATATTTTTAGGGTTCTGCGGCCCCCCAAGGTGGTTCACAACACAATCAGTCATCCACTCATTCACATAGACATTCACAGGCCGGTGGGGATGAGCTACGATGTAGCTACAGCTGCCCTGGGGCACACTGAAAGAGGTGAGACTGCCGAACACTGGTCCCTCCGACCACCACCAGCATGGTTAAAAACACAAGTTCTAATTACTTGAGTGCCTTGAAGTACCTTAACATTATGGGATGCAACTTGTAGAATGGCCTTGAGTATTTTAGAGCATAAAATAATAGGGTTAATGAAAAATAAGGCTACAGTAATGTAGAAGTGTAAGTGTACCGAGGATGTTGCCAAGTGGAACACCATTTCTGAGCATCAATCTTTGTTCCTATTACATTGCCATGGAGCAAATCTATATTATGTGATGTATTAAACTTGGAAAATTAACTGTAACTGCCCCCGCAGAGCGTTCCAAGGAACCCATAAGCAACAGTTCTTGCACATTTGTGAAAAGATTTGCATTTTTGCATTACAAATACACAGTTCCTGTGTGAGGTTCAGCTTCACTCTGTGATTTAGTCTTACATAAGAAAGTTTCCCTCAAAGTGCACTGAACACGTCAGAACTGGCAGCAATAGAACCTTTTTCCTTTTCGCACAATAGATCCATTGAACATCAGGGCGGCAAAAACAAAACTATAGCGGCTTGTAATATTTGAGGCGGCACAAAGTACACGTTCCCTTTGATTTCCACACCTCCTTCTCATCAAAGAGAAAAGGTTACAGGGTGACTTCTGACAGTAATAGGTCTCCTGGTGTATTGTGGGATAGTGGGCTCACAACGGTGCTTTGATGTGAGCGCTTACACTCGTTATCAGAGATTCAACCACAGCAGGGCTTCTGAGGACCGCGTTGCTTTCTGCCTCTGTGTTTATTTTACTTTAAAGTTCCTTTTTATCATTGATTCATGCTATTTCTTTATTTTACTGGAACTCAAACTCATTTCTGATTATTTATTTTTATTTAATTTATTTATTTTCTTTTTTTTGCAAATCAGTGAATGATTGCTTCAGTCAGATGAACTTTACATGGAGTAGAAAACAACAAGTCTAAAGTATCAACTTTTGGTTTCTTTTGGATAACATTTTAGTAATATTCTCAATCCATGACCTCAGGTCTCAAAATGTCAATTTTGTACGTTGAACTAGTCAAAATCACCCATGTGCTTTCTGTTGTCCACAAATATTTTTGTGTCTTTCAACTCTGCATCGACCAATAAGATAAGAGTTTGTTGCATTAATTTCAATTGAATTTAAAAAGCAAATGTTACTTTTTTGATAGAGTTCCATTCAATAATCAAAAAGTTTTTTCTAAAACAAGAAGTCGTGATCATTTTTTCTTACATTTTTTATAATTATAGTGAAGAAAATTCAAAATGCTCTTTAGATTCCTTATTAAGCTCAACTTTTCCAAGTGGTCCCTCATCGCAGGGTGTCAGTAGGTCATTATTTAAAGAGCAAGTCACCCCCTACCAGAGTCTAACTCCACTCCCACTTCATGTTTGAAAAATGCAACACATGCTGTTGCCTGGCAGACCGAGAGGGCGGAGCCGCTAACAAATACACACACACTCAGGCTCACGACAACATTGTGACATCATAATGTACCAGTTTACATCATAGCATACTTCTTAGCCAATAGCGGTGGCAGGTTTAAATTAAAATACAGTGCAGAGTTTTTACCTGACAACGGCACAACACTGCCAATTTGAGGCAGAATATTTAAATTTTAACTAAGATGCACTGAAGTGCCAAATTATTGACGACACATGTCTGCAGCACGATTAGACACTCGTTTATTTAGTTTATCAGCAAAAAAAAAGTTTATTTGGGGGTGACTTGCTCTTTAAAAGTGGGACAAATGTTAGAGAAATAAAAAATCCTTTATTGTTGATTTGCAGCAATTAAATTATAAAATACGTCAAGATTTCCAACTAAAGGAAAGAGATCTCAGATGGGAGGCACTAGCAGTTAAACTGGCTGATAGAAGGGATGTTTAATTATCTTCCTTATTAATAATGAGATCATTAATAAAACTAATGGTAAAGGAGCAATACAGTTGCTTCTAGAGCATAAAGTTCAGTTCCAGACAGCTCACTTTAAGAGTGTTTTCTGTTAGATGGACGGTAAACAGTCGACCCGTCGTCCTTTAGCTGCTGTCGATCTTGCGTCCAGTGTCATCAGCTCAGTCTGAGTAACAAACACTCGACAGCTTCCACACCGATCTCTGGAGAATTTATTAACGCTTCTCTTTCTGCTCCACTTCCACCGTTCCAACCATTCATCTACCGATGTTTTTCCCACTCAATAGTTTCTACTGCGGTTAAATTATTCTCAATAATTCTTTTTTTTTTTTGAAGCAGTAAAAAGTCACACACTTATCTCTGCATCTCAGGAAGATTTGAGTTCCTTCCTGAACTAAAACTGTAGCACCGATAACAGATTTGTGGTGCAACATCTCTCTCCGGGTCTGCCAGCCTTTTTAATCTGTGCTGTCTCAACAGCTGCTCGCTGATTGACCTGAAGAGTTTACTCAAACAGCTCAGACATGACTCACATCCTCCTCAACTGTGTGTTTGTGCGCCTAAATCTAATCAACGCACTGCACCGGACGTCTCAGGAGGAGAATAAATAAACGCCGCGCTCTGCTTTGTTGCTGTTTCAGAAGCTGACATGGAAGTCCAAAGACGTCAGCAAGTGTACGGTCAGGGGGAAGAACAGCGTAAGATATTACTGAATTTTACCCACATTTTGCTGTTTCTTCATTGTTTCTAATCATTTTAGTCCACTTTATCAGTAGTGAAAACATTTCTAATGAATTAAAGACAATATCATTTTGACCTCTATTATAAACGTGTGTTTCAGGACGAGTGCTACAACTACATCAAAGTTCTGGTGCCCCGAAACGATGAGACCCTGTTTGCCTGTGGAACCAACGCCTTCAATCCAACCTGTCGAAACTACAAGGTGATCATTAAACTGCTGGTCCTTGTTGTTAGAGCAGAAATCTGGAGTTTGTCCACAGGGGCACCCTCTAGAGGTGGAAAAATCCATCGCACCTTTAAGCTCGTCTCCCCACTTCAGTAATTACGGCCCTGAAGCAGGGCCTCTCATTCGTCGATGCGCACCTCTAGGATGTCTAACGGTATTGGCTAATGCTGAGCGACCCTCAACTCAAATTGCATGGGGTCTACGTGACAAGAGGCGGGCTTAGCAACAACTAAAATGTTAACGTCTTGCCAATAATACATCACAGCACAGGGTCCGTAACAGATCATTCCTGAGAGGGCGAACATTTCAGATTGCTGCTTTAAATGAACACTAAAATAACCGTGTGTGTTTTTTTTTTCTTTTTCTTTTGTAAAAGGTCGCTTGAAGAACCCTGGGGTGTTTATTTTCCCACAACTTTACTCATTCAGTGATGTCTGTTCCTGCTCGATCCGTATTGATAGTTTCCAGGCTGCAGTGGTGGGAAATAACTGCCGGCTGTTTGAAGGTCTTGAAAGTTATTGAGTTTTCAGAAAGCCAAACAGTTCTCTTAATAACTCGTTAATTTTATTTGTTTTTTCATCTCTTGGAGGGCTTTGAGTAAAATGAATTCTAAAGAGTCGACAAATGGGAATAAAATATTAAATAAGTTATTATTAAAGATTAAACGAGTGGTTTCCAGCTGTTGTTGCCTCTGGCGGCTCATGAAAAGGTGCTCAGAAAAACTGTCTCGTTCTTGCGTTCATCATCTCATCACAAGTTAGTCAGTGTGTTGGTTTATAAAGATCAATTTGCAGTAGTTGAAATGAGCTCCATCTATTATATACCGTTATATAATAGTTATATAATACTTATTTTCATATTTGTATGTCTAAACTTATCTTACACACATTTTTAGACAAATAGTTCTGTTACGTCCTCTATTGGTGGATAAGGAGAAGGGCAGGGTGTAACACGGACGCACGTGTTTCAGGTGTTAAAATTGTAAACAATGATTTTATTAAAGGATTTTAAAAAGACAAAGCTCCAAACGTAAAAGTACTTTAAAAACACATTGTTAAAATGGCCATGGGTTTATGTTTAGAACAGACACCCGAATGCTCTCAAACATGCACAAACAAAGTCCACTGACTATACACAAGTTTGGGAGCCAAGAGGAAGCCAGCACTCTGGTCCCTCGTCTGTTAAAAACCTCTAAAAGCTGTTAAGCTTCACTGAGGCCCTGTCCACACGTAGCCGGGGATCTGCCAAAACGTAGATATTTTTCTACGTTTTGGCCTGTCATCCACACGAAAAATGAGATTTTTCACACGAAAACGGATCTTTTTAAAAACTCCGGCCAAAGTGAAGATCTGCGTTTTCTCCGTTTTGGGTGTCTGCGTGTGGACAGACAAAAACGGAGTTTTAAGGTCCGCAACGTCACTTTCCGCGACAAAAAAATGCTGACATCACGTGTGCGACCTGTGTTTACACTAGCCGACATCATGGAAGCCTTCGGAGCTGCGCTCTGTCACTACCGGATCCATCAATTGTCCAAGCGCTTTCTGCTTGTTTGTTTTTGCAAGCGGAATTACTGCTCCTTGCGGAAGACCACAGACGAAGGACGAGGTTAAGAACGGGGGAAGTACTGCCGCCTACAGGTCTGGCATGTCCTTAACAACGTATTTATCCGGGTACGTGTGGACAGAGTTTTTTTTAAAATGAGGTGGTGTGGGTGCAAGTTTTTGGAGGGGCGGATATTCGTTTAAAAAAAAAAACGGCTACGTGTGGACTAGGCCTAAGCTTAAAGAACTAAAACCCATTAAAAAGCCATTAAAACACAAACACATGGCACAGAGTCTCTCCCTTCCTCCTGGCAGCTCTGCCTTGTACGTTGCTCAGGAAGTGATCAGCCCAAGTGAGTGCAGCTGTGCAGGTAGGAGGAGGCAAAGCACTGGGTGTTTCTCAGTGTCATGGCGCCTGGCCTTGCGAGGCAATGTCTTGCGAGGCCAGGCGCCTTGCTTACGAGGACACTGTCCTTCCTTGGTCAAAGAAAATGGTTAAATGGAACAGACTTGCATCACGTGACCACGGCTTCCATGGCGGTCACGTAACGTCACGTGACCCGGGAGACAACATTATATTTTATATGTATTAGTTTCAATATAAGTATAAAATGAGCCTTTTACTTTTTAAATTGTGTATATGTTTATTAAATTAAAAATATAAGCGAGTTACTACCCGCTAGCCACCGAAGCTGCAACTACTAAGCAACTAACCAACCATAGATAACTTCTTTGGGTCTAAAAAACATTTTAAATTAGCTGACTTGCTTTTAAACTTGAAAACTGTCCCCGAAGTAGCTGCCGGCATCTGATCCGGTGTCTTTTTGAAACTACCGTGGTGTATTGTGCGTAATTTTTGACCAAGGCTAGGCTACAAGACACCTCCCGTGTGCCCTTGCTCAGCTAGCTAAACGGCTAACAAACGGAGAACACGCGCCTCGGTAGAACATGAACATTGGAACCGATTGGAACACGTCTTGGCGGCTCCTGATGACATATCTCCTAGGCAACCGGGGCGGGGCCAAGACATCAAGGCAAGGTTCCTTGCTTGACATTGAGAAACACCCACTGATTGTCCTCTGCAGCGTCAGATTTCTGGCACAAACAGCAACAGCTGTAACAAGTTCCTTGCTTTATTAGTATTTTAGGAATACTTTGTGCAACATTAAAACTAAAGAAAATGTTAATTAGCAAAATCATAAAATATGTCAATCTTCCACAGCAAATAGTTTTTAAGCTTTAGTTTGTTTATTGTTGTGCTTCTGTTTTTCTCTTTTGTTGAATAAAGATTTCATTTTAGTCCATTATTGATTTGGCCAGTCCGAATGGGGAAAATGGAAAAATAAAAACTGATTTAAGTTTTAAATTAGAGGAACTCTTCTGTTGTGTTTTGATAAACATTTAGTGAACATTTCTACAACTTAAACAGTTTTTCACTATGATAAAATTGTGTAATAAAAAGTATGAATTACTTCTTTTAAAATAACACCAAAAGAGGAAACTGGCTGGTAAGTTCATGGTTACAGCTCTGCAATGGCGAACTGAAATATACCAAATTTTCACTCATCATTTTGCATAAATGTGTTTATTTATTGTATGTTGTTGCTGTTTTGATCATTGTCAGCATGCATGCACTTCTTTTCAAATACGTCTCATATTTGAATAATTCCTTCTATTTTAATTTTTCTGTGAATTTGAATGGTTACATGCTGCGTTTGATGGCTGAAGAGAGATTTCCCCTGCATTACCCTCCAGTCGTGGCATAATAAGGCGGAAATTTGCTTCAAGGGCAGGACAACTTTGATTCTGACAGTGTTCCCTCTGTCATAATTGGATGCCTCTCTAAATAAAACACCACCTTCATGAATCCCACCATCTCAGGTGCCACTCCAGCTTCTTTCTTCCTCCTCGGTAGCGGTTGCTGAAGGTTTGATTGACAGCAGATGGCCCTGTTTAGCAGAAACTTCTGCTTTGAAATCTCCGGCGGCGGGAAAAACAACACGTTTGAGAGAAGATGAAGAGCTTTTCTTTCTGTTTTGAAGAGTTGGGTTCTAAAAAAACTTGCGTGTAGCTGTTGGAGCGTCAATGATGCCTGGTCTCACTTTATGGCTTCAAGGTGCAAAATGCATCACCATCAGCAAGGTGTTAAAAAATAACTCAGCTTAAATGTCTTTTCTTGTTTTTTAAATTACCTTTTAACCTTATTTATAAACCACAGCTACTGCAGAGCTGACACCAGTAGAAATAAATAACCCGGAGGGAAAAATGTCAATAGAGTTTAATTATAATTACAAAGAGAAAATGCGTGTTAAAGGGCATGAAGGAAATTGAGCCCTGTCGTGTTTCATGATAGATTTATTACAGATGAGGGCAAGTGAGATGTATCCTGAATTAAAATCGGCAAACTAGGCTGGCAGAGGAGCGGGAGAGTTCAGCACTCGTAGCTAGGGAGAGACTCGGCTCCCCAAGGGAGAAAATAGCAGACAGGTGTATTTATGAGGCTTCTCAGAAGGCTAAACTCCCTGTTAGGGTTTCAGCTAGCATACTCAAAAATGGTGCCAGTGTCACAGCTGCAGGAGCAAAAAGTTATCCCAGCTCCATCGGCTTTGCTAGAACAATATCAGCGACAGAATTAACCAAACTAAGTCTGTTAGCATTATTAGAAAGCTAGCAGAGCTTTTGTTGTGTTTTCTGGCAACAGTATGTACTTCGTTCTTAGCTAAATGAGTGCTTTCCTCTTCAGTACTATATTAATAGATGTTCTAGCAGCAGGAGTGCAAAATATGAACTTATCACCAAAAACCCGCAGCTGAATGCTAACCAACCGCTGAAAAGCAGCAATCTTGTTTGCTGGCATAGTGTAAATGTAGGTCTGCTTTAAGAAAAAAAATAATGCTTGTTTGCAGCTCTAAAATTTAAGTTTTTTTTTTCTCATTTTGTCATCAGATGAACTCTTTGGAGCTGGTTGGGGAGGAGGTGGTCGGTCAGGCTCGTTGTCCTTTTGAGTCGAGTCAGTCCAACGTTGGGCTGTTTGCAGGTGAGTCCACATGAGACCAATGCCCCACATTTCAGATTTGATCCAGAAAAGTTCTTGTAATAGCACAGCTAGCATACACATAGTGACAAATGACTGAAAACTACTTTCGTTATTGTTTTTACAAATGTAAAATTATTTTAGGACTATTTTAAACAAGTTTGATTTGAATTTTATTTGTGGAGAATAATTTACGGAGCTCAGTGTCACAGGATTATTATTGTTGTTTGTTTTAGGGGGTGATTTCTATTCGGCCACCATGACAGATTTTCTAGCCAGCGACGCAGTCATCTACAGAAGCCTCGGCGAGGGCCGGCCCGTTCTCAGAACCGTCAAATATGACTCCAAGTGGCTCCGAGGTTTGTCCCCCAGAGATTAGTTTGATAACTGCTAGATGAGTGGAAATCAGTAAAACTGCTCATGTTTATAAGGTTTTTTCCCCCACTCCCTATAAAAATTTTAATTTTGTCTGACCCTGAAATTCTCAAATGTTTGGGTCGAATCTAAAGTCTTTTTTCAAGACCAGCATCAAAATTGTCGAGTTAAAATTCCCAGTTGGCTACTTTTAAAATTTGTTTATAAATAAAAGAAACAAAAATTATTTTATTTACACAGATCCCAAATAGACCCAACATTGTAAAAACATTTGTAATATTAATAATTTAGTAAATTGGTAATCTCATCATTATAGGTTCATTTACACCAGAAGCATACTGGGGACTGCACAAACTCACTCAAAGGGCCGTAAACGGCCCCCTAGGCCACACTTTGGACCTTTTATCAGATCAAAACTTATTAAAACTATAGCTGGAGCTCTTAAATCTTGTTTAATGAGTGAAATATAATTATTGAAAGTTCTGTACTGTTTTTTTTTATAGTGCAGAATCTGAGTCCAAAGTGATGGAGGCCATCTTTCTCATTCTGAATCGATCCTTCAAACCCAGCTGCAGTTAAATGGAGCTCTTTTTAAATTCTAACACCTCTACATCTTTTTTTTTTTTCTTGTTTGGGTTTTAAAAATGATTCTGAAAAAGGCACATGTCAGAAACAATGATGTAAGAGTGCTTTTTCCCAGCTGATAACTGCAAGGAAGTTTTGAACAGCACAGACCGAGGGTGAAAAGTTGGAGGCAAAAAGACTTTTACCTTGAAAGTTGAGAAAATAGATGATTGTTATTCCGTTCTCTCTGCAGAGCCTCACTTCTTGCACGCCATAGACTACGGTAACTACGTCTACTTTTTCCTAAGTGAGATCGCAGTGGAATACACAGCCCTGGGCAAGGTACGTGTGTGAACTTTTCTTCCAACAGCAAATCAGCAGCTGAGACTCTGAAATAGGAAAAAACCCAAATTGCATGTTGGTATTCTTTTTAGAAAATGTCCATGTAGCAATAGTCTTGTTTAATCGAGTCTTCTAAGAGAATCTTTACCATGTGTGGGTGGATGAAAGATTCTGCAGGTTGGAACAGGTTTCAAAAAATTTTTCTATTTTCTGTTCTTCTAAACACTCCTAATTAAAATGCTTACAGGTGGTGTTTTCTCGAGTTGCTCGGGTCTGTAAGAATGATAACGGAGGCTCTCCCAGAGTGCTGGACAGATACTGGACATCCTTTTTAAAGGTGATTTTCTTAATAATAAAATTATTTTAAATCATATTTATTTGTTATAATTTGTTACAGAACTTTAAGCGGTCCTGTCATTTAAAACCAGATTGTTACTAATGTAGCATATAGAAAAAGTCTGGTCTGTCTCTGACTTACTATCCTGTCTAAATTAGCAGTGATGCAAATTACAGCATTACTGTTGTTCTGACACAAAACTGGTTTAACGTGTCTTAAGCTTAGACACACACCCGTAAATTAGCATAGCCCAATGCACTATATTGTCTATAATACAGTAAATTAATGTTGGTCGCAGTAACACTAACCACAGAACAATTCTAGACCAAGCTCTTGCTGACACCGGCCTGAGCTCCTGCTAACGCCGGCCTGAGCTCTTGCTAACGCCGGCCTGAGCTCCTGCTAACGCCGGCCTGAGCTCCTGCTAACGCCGGCCTGAGCTCCTGCTAACGCCGGCCTGAGCTCCTGCTAACGCCGGCCTGAGCTCCTGCTAACGCCGGCCTGAGCTCCTGCTAACGCCGGCCTGAGCTCCTGCTAACGCCGGCCTGAGCTCCTGCTAACGCCTGCCTGAGCTCTTGCTAACGCCGGCCTGAGCTCCTGCTAACGCCGGCCTGAGCTCCTGCTAACGCCGGCCTGAGCTCCTGCTAACGCCGGCCTGAGCTCCTGCTAACGCCGGCCTGAGCTCCTGCTAACGCCGGCCTGAGCTCCTGCTAACGCCGGCCTGAGCTCTTGCTAACGCCGGCCTGAGCTCTTGCTAACGCCGGCCTGAGCTCTTGCTAACGCCGGCCTGAGCTCTTGCTAACGCCGGCCTGAGCTCTTGCTAACGCCGGCCTGAGCTCTTGCTAACGCCGGCCTGAGCTCTTGCTAACGCCGGCCTGAGCTCCTGTTGGACCAGAGGTGTACAACAATGAAGAATGCTGAAGCACAACTCACTTTCAAAGATACTGGGAAGGTCCAGACTATGAAAGAAGGCTAGATAGACCCACAGTTTGTGGTTCTTGTCTTGTCCCTCATTTGTCTGCAAACAGCTCTACAACCAACCGGACATTCACTTTGTTCCTCATTCATCCTAAGTCTCGCACCTCTTGACACCCCAAACACAGAACAGGTTCCAGCCTCAAGCAGCATCATAGAACCATTAGGCTAAACCAGCCAATCAGCATGCAGCTCATTTAATATTCATGTCCTGGCCAAGTAGGTGGGGCAAACAAGTCTACAGCTCTATTAAGGGGTTGTGTTTATTAGGGCTCCTTAGCCATTAGTAACTTCAACAAAGTGTATATATATATATATATATATATATATATATATATATATATATATATATATATATATATATATATATATATATATATATATATATATATATATATATATAGGGCTGCGCGGTGGTTTGAGCTGTTGCCTTGTAGCAAGAAGGTCCTGGGTTCGCTTCCCAGCCTGGGATCTTTCTGCATGGAGTTTGCATGTTCTCCCTGTGCATGCATGGGTTCTCTCCGGGTTCTCCAGCTTCCTCCCACAGTCCAAAAACATGACTGTTAGGTTGATTGGTCTGTCTAAATTGTCCCTAGGTGTGAATGTGTGTGTGCATGATTGTTTGTCCTGTGTGTCTCTGTGCTGCCCTGTGATGGACTGGCAACCTGTCCAGGGTGTAGCCCGCCTGATTGCCCGTTTACCGCTGGACCCCCCCCCCCCCCCCCCCCCCCCCCCCCACGTGGACAAGCGGGTTCAGAAGATGGATGGATATATGTATATTATATCTTATTGTAGTACACTTTTATGTTATTTTCATTAAGTTGTATTTGTCATAACTGAAGGCTGTATGTGTGTTAAGGCACGGTTGAACTGTTCTGTTCCCGGAGACTCCTTCTTCTACTTTGATGTTCTTCAGTCTCTTACCAATGTGCTGCAGATCAACCAGAGACCTGCTGTTATTGGAGTCTTCACCACTCAGGCTAACAGGTAATCTCTCTCAGGGGGTGTGATTGCATAAACAGGATATTTCTTACAGTGCAGTGATTATTTTAGAAAAGATGGGGGCATGTTTTGGATGTTTTTTTTCTATAATGTATTTATATGTATGTGTGTCATAAGGAAATGAGGCTCAAAATTGATGAATGTAGTGCAGAAACAATCGCATGAAGAATGATGGCCTTTTCTGAGAAATGGGAGCTTTAAATATGAATAGCAAGAATAGCTGGCTGTCATTTGGACGACACAATCATTTTTCGATTTATTTATTTATTTATTTTTATTTAATTTTTTTTTTTTTTTAGGAAGGAAAGGTGGTGGGTATTGTTGGAAAGCAAAGACACTCCCTTTCAGTCAGGGACATTTATGGAAATGAGGACATCATTTAAAGCCTGGGCACGTGGTTTCCAGGTTCCCACTCCTGGGACTTGGTTTAAGATTTCATGTAGAAAGTGGGTCCCTGTTAAGATATGGGTCAGGGATAATAAAATGTCAAAGAGGGTCTTCACAGGTATAAATTTACATAACTTATTATGCAAAATGGAAATGGATTTTTTTTAGGGTTTCTTCCCCTTCTTTTTATTCATTAATCTTATTCGGACTTCTCATTTTATTTCCCTCTGTATATTCTTCCCTTTTTTCCTATCAGAGCTCTCATCATAATTCAGGAGACAATCATTTTAGCATCTTCTCAATCTGTTAAATTCACTTGTTGATCATAAATCTGCAGTAAAAGAGTCGGTCCTCTCTGCACGTGTCTCTAATGTACAAGCTGTCATTATTTGAACACTGGATTACAGAAGAGTTGAGTTTATTGAAGCTGAGCTACAGATTAAAGATGAGATGGCTGTTAGGGTATCGGGTACATTTCATTTGTTGTGAATAAAAAATTCTCATTGCATTTGAAGCTTGTTTTTCAGGTCAGAGTGATTTTCTTCTTTGCCATCAGGATTCAGACATGATCAGACTTTAGTGGCTACAAAAATAGATTCACGTATTTAATGCAACACAGTTGGTTCTTTACCGAGTCAAGCCGACAAATTATTATAGAGAAATCTGTCCAAATTAGAGTCATGCCCAGTCATATCATCAATAGCATGTAAATTATGTTACTGTTTGATTTTAAAATTGTCAGATTGTGTTCACATTAGTTCGTTGTGCGGTGGGTTGTCGCAATTTGGTCAAAACGAGTCCGTGTCTTTCATGTCAACAAGAACATTGTGACTATGTAGAATTGGCAAATCTTCACCGTGGTCAGAGTTCTTGAAATAATCATTTTTGGTGGCTCTTATCTTTACTTTCATGTGGGTGACAGCCCAAACTGTACTAAAATATTTTAAATGATTTGTGGGATACCCTGCTACGTGTGTACAGGGTCTGATGGCGGCACCGTATTTCCTGGTCCACCTTCGATCCAACCCTTCTGGTCACTGGACCCGAGTTGTGAACCAAAGAATACAATCCTAGATTCTCCTCATCCAAAGGAGTCAACTGAGATGTTGTCTGACTAGGATGCTTCCGAGTCACCGTCCTCTTGACATCTTTGAAGCAGTAGGGAGGAAATCCCTAGGCAGACACAGAGTTAACCCGACAGATTATATATTCTCTCTGGATGCTGGAGAGTCACGGGGAGAGGGATGTCTGGGTTTCCCTCCTGGATCTTGCACCTCTGCAACCCAATCTCAGATAAACATCAGAAGATCGTTGGATGGTTTTTACTGGTTTTTGTCTCCGTTTACGGAGTTTTGCCCAATTAGTTTGGTATTCTTTTTTAAATTACCGAACCTTCCAGCAGAATGATTGTGACAGATTTTCTTATCTCCTGTGTTCCTCTAGTATCCCAGGCTCAGCAGTTTGTGCGTTCTACATGGACGACATTGAAAAAGTCTTCAATGGAAAGTTCAAAGAGCAGAGAAACAGCGACTCGTCTTGGACGCCAGTAGCAGACGAGAACGTCCCCAGACCGAGGTGAGAGGTTCATCTACATAAATCTAGGAAAATATGAACTCGGCTCAGCTTCTTCCAGCGGTAGAAGTCACGAAGCAGGTCACAGATGCACTTATTATTGTTCTTTACCTCCAGGCCCGGTACATGTGCAGGTGATGGACCAGCCTCAGATTACAAATCCTCGGTACAATTCCCAGACGAGATGCTGACCTTCATTAAATCATATCCTCTGATGGATGAAGCGGTCCCCTCCGTAAATGACCGGCCCTGCTTCACTCGCACATCCAGCAGGTAAAACGAAACGCATCAGCGCCACAGAACCAAAAACTGCTTTAGACTTTTACAAACATTTAAAGGAAAACAAGAAAATCCGACAGTCACTGAACGATCCACGTTGGGAAAAGGTGCCAGGTTATGCATGTAGATTGCAACTATTGAGATTTGTCACTTCCTGGTAAAAGGAGAATTTAGAAAAACACCTACCAGGAAGGGAAAGGAAAGGTGTCTGCTGCACAAGATAAGCTGCATACTCAATGGCTTACGCCTACATTTGACATCTAACGAGAAGCTCTGTCACCTTGGTGTTAATTTTAAACCGATATTTGCATCAACAGGTGTGATTTAATTTCAAAGTCTTGTGAAATGTACATGTTTCCCCTTAATCTGCTGCAACAGGCTGCGTGTTTTAACTAAACGCAATACTCCCGGGCGCCTCGGACGACAAAGGATGAATTCTGAAAGACCAAATAAAAAAGGGAAGGAAGTAAAGTGTACCCAGAAAAGGTTGGTTAGGAAATTACAACTGCTCTGAGAGGCCGTGAATCCAGCATCTCGCCCTGAAGCCTGGAGGATAATCATCAGTATCAGCCGTGATTAGCCGTTGGTCCACAGGAAGTTCTCGCTCCGTCTCCCTCCGACTCCTCGGCTCTGAAAATCTGTGACCTTTTTAATCTTCCTCTGCAGATTTCAAATGAGTTTCTGATGGATTCTAATTACCAGTCTGAGATGAGAATGGGATTCTTAATTCCATGATCAAATTAGCCCCCTCTACCGAAGAGGTCCAGGCTGACCCAGATACGGTGATGCCGATATCCGAAAAGCGACACGGATCTGCTGACTTTTATATAACGTTGGTGAGCAGCCAGAGTGCCGGGGAGAAACATGAGCCTGGATTTGTTCCCTTTAATGGGAATTTAATGTCCAGGAAGGGAATGCAATAATGGAAGCAAAAGCAGAGATAAATCCACCAGATGATTGTCTTTACTTTGCAACAAACTGATGGATTATCAGAAATATCTGTGCTGATACTGGAAAAGTCCGGGGAGGAATTTTAATCGTGTTTTATCTTCAGATCACCCAAGTTAATGAATAATACATCTGGACATTGTAAACAGATTTGTGCTTTTGGGAATCTGATATAATTAAGACTTTTTTGACACTAATTGGTTTTCATATTAGAAAATTAACAAAAGTGGTTTAGTGAAACCCAGAAAAACACTGCAGGGTGAAAGTTTGATAAAGTTATTTAAATGTTTAATATGGAACAGAAACACCAGAGCGACATCTAGTGTGGGAAGGGTGTAGTTGCAACAATAGAACAAGGTTTTCAGCCATCAGCAGACCAGATTCGCGGCTGATTTCTTTTATTTGGGTCCATCTGTTGTAGACTTCACCTAAACTCGCTCTGGTTTTAGATTATTTTTTATGGTCACTCAACTTCTGAGAAGGATCAGGATCTTCTGGGCTCAAAGGCTGCTGCTTGACTTGCTGAATCCCCTGAATCGGCGGATTGTTTGGAAACCCGCAATGGTGCTCTCTATTGGCTGGTAGATGTACACATAAAGACAGTGTAGTGCCTGCCAAAATAAATATTTCTTTATATGATTAAAATGTAGCTTTTAAAGGAAATAATTTACCTTCATTCTATACCCCTCTAAATGTGCAGTGGAGGTATTTTTTAATTCTTTAAATGTAGCTTTTTATGAAATTGTTTCATATTCAACCTTTAAATCAACAGCTGCTCGTCAGTTTCAGCTCTGGGAAGTTAGTCATCCGAACGCTTTGTTGGTGTAAACGTCAGCATCAATCACCACAATGAAAATGGAGCTCATTTTATTTTTATTTGTTTTTGAGAGCTTTTATTTTTAGGAAGGTGGAACTTAATCCCCCACATAAACGTCCCCTTAAGCTGCTGCCAGTGTGATGTTAGATCCGGTGTAAATAAAACCAGCTTGTTCTTGTTTAAAAATCTTGATTTAGATTTATTTTTCATATACCATAAATCCTCTAATACAGGCCCGGGCCTGTATTTGACTCAAGTCCATCAAGCTCCAGGCCTTTATTGGAAGGAGGACCAGAATTAGAGGCAGGCCTCAATTTCTATTTGAGCAAAATGAACTAATGGTTCGCTGGAGTTTTTGACAATTAAAATTGCGCCCACATTTTCAAAGTTAAACACATTTCTTTTAACAACGGTAGTTTCTGCTTCAGCCCTCTCCCCCCTCCCCCTGCACAGCGGCCGCAAACTCACTGATGCGCCTGCAGCCTCTCGGAGTTCCTGCTGCTCTGAACATTAAAATAATTATTTCATTTTCTGTTCCTCACTTCTGATTACCTTCAATGGTGTCTGTTTGTTGCAAACACCAGGTACAAAAACTTGTTTTTATTTGACTATTTTTCTGTCCTGCCTGTTTATTATCTTCCTGCATCTCCTCTCAGTCCTAAAGAGAAACTGCTACCTGGGTTCATATATATTCACCTTATGAGTTACCTTTGAACTGCAGTTCTAAAAGATCTACCAACCGCAAAAACAGCGGAGTGCTCGCTGCTCGCCGGCCACATCAGTTAGGTGTGTCACCGGAGGACAAAACAGGCGATGCACCCCGATCCACAGCAGCAAAACGCATCAGGCATAAATAAAAGAATATAAGACAGAAAACATAAAATTAAATGAGCAGACATGAACGATCGCTTGTTAAATTAGTTTTTGAGGTGGCGACACCTGATTTGATGATGTTACTGTGGCCGTGCTCAGGACGCAGATGTCTGGAGCGCGTCAACAATCAGAGCTTTGCATGCGCAAGCTGGTTAAGGTTAGGATGGGGGTGAGGGGAAGGTTAAATTGCAAGAGGGTGAACGTCACAATTTGGTTAAATGTCCGTTTTACGGCGGGTGTCAGTACAGACGCTCTGGCACAGCGCGTTGCCTCCCGACGCGCAGGAGCTTGTCACCTGCTGACAGCAGGCTGCTGTCTTTTCCGAGGACTGCATCTTGCCGGTCATTATCACGTGACAGCGACTAGTCGATGACAGGCATAAAAAGTCACTATAGAGCGGTGAAGTCGACTAGTGACTAGTTCATACAACCCCTGCTACTGCTCCCCAGAGTGTTCTGCAGCATAATCAGCACGTTCTCTTTGAACTTGATGTCAAATTTTCGCCTCCTCTTCGTCTCCGCACGGTTAAAGTTACCCTCGCGGTCTATCACTGGCAAATCAAAAGTAAGACGGATGACACAACCACCCCCCCATACTTGCTTGTTACCACATTCCACCCGGCCACAAAAAAAAAAGCCATTATTCACCTCCGCCGACTCTGACACCGACCAAAATATGATACCCAGCAGTTAATTAAATGCAGGCTAATATTAGAGGATTTACGATAAGTACGAAATTTTAATCAATCAAGTTTTATTTATATTGTGCTTTTCACCACCCCCAAAGGGGTCCCAAGGCGCTGGACAAGAAAAGTAACAAAGATAAAAGTAGCAAGTCATAAAAACAATAAAAACAAAATGCGAACATAGACATTTGTGAGAACAATAAAATACCAATGAGATAAAATTTAGGTAAAAGATAATTCAAATTAATTAGTTAAAAGAAAGCTACAAACCAAAAAATGAAAACCAGAAACCAAAAGCTTTAGGAGAAAGCCATCCTATAAAAATTTGTCTTCAACCTGCTCTTAAAGACTGCCAGTGATGGGGACTGTTTGATTGTTGTTTATGTTGTTTATGTTGTTTATTTATTTAGCAGACGCTTTTGTTCGAAGCGACGTACAATTTATAACCTATAGGGCATGTTGTGATTGTGTGTGGGAGCTGGTTCCAGAGAGAGGGTGCAAGGACTTGAAAAGCCCGATCACCACGAGTCTTAAATCGGGTGCGAGGGACGATGAGCAGTTTCTGGTTAGCCGACCGTAATGACCTTGAGGGAACGTGCTTTATTAAGAGCTCCGCTAAGTAGGTGGGGGCACTGCCTTGGAAAAACTTAAACACAAATGCAGAATTTTAAACTGTGCCCTGTGAGACTGGGAGCCAGTGAAGAGGTTTCAGCACTGGAGAAATTTGGTCCCTTTTCCTAGTTCCAGCCAAAAACCGAGCAGCACTGTTCTGCACTAATCGCAGGTGATGCACAATAGTCTGACCCAACCCAGCATAGAGGGAGTTACAATAGTCAAGCCTAGATATCACAAACGCATGGAGTATACGCTCCAAGTGAGTTCTGGAAATAATAGGCTTGAGTTTACTAAGGCGACGTAACTGAAAAAAGCAAGACCGAACTACTGAGTTGACATGAGAGTCCAATCTAAGAGCAGAATCAAGTCTCACCCCAGGCTAGTGACAACAGGCTTCTGGAGGGATGACAAGGTGCAGAAATCAACAGTAGAACCTAACCACTCCTTTCCACCGTGAGCCGTCGCGCGACTTCGTGCTCTGTCTGTGACAGCTGCTCCCCTGCTGCTTCACGTCTCGTGGGAAGGGCCAAGTAGCAGCATACGCGAGCAAGACGTGCTGCTGACTGCTCCGGTGGAAAGGAGGGGTAAATCTGAGCTGCAGCTTCGGTGAAACATGATAAATTCCTTTTTACGTTCATTAACGTTCAGGAAATTAGCTGCAAGCCATGCCTTGACTTCATTTACACATGTCTCAAGGTTTTAAAAAGAAGCTCCGTACCGCAGAGACAGTGGAGAATAGATTTTATTTCTTTCTTTTTTTTTCTTCCATCAGGTCTAAGCTGACCCAGATCGTGGTGGATGTTTCAGCCGGCCCCCATAAGGACTGGACGGTGATGTTCCTCGGTTCAGATGATGGACGAGTTCTGAAAGTTTTGGCCAGCACACATCCGAATGACAGCTTCGGGTCCAAACTGCTGGAGGACATTGACGTCTACAACCCATCAAAGTATAGCTTTTCTCACTTTCCCAACCAACCTGCTGCAGCTGCTGAAATATTTATACAGTTTTATACTGTGTGTGTGTGTGTGTGTGTGTGTGTGTGTGTGTGTGTGTGTGTGTGTGTGTGTGTGTGTGTGTGTGTGTGTGTGTGTGTGTGTGTGTGTGTGTGTGTGTGTGTGTGTGTGTGTGTGTGTGTGTGTGTGTGTGTGTGTGTGTGTGTGTGTGTGTGTGTGTGTGTCCAGGTGTAACGTTCAGGGTCAGGAGGACAGGACCGTTCTGGGACTGGAGCTGGATAAAGATCATCATGCTTTGTTTGTAGCGTTCACTGGCTGCGTCATTAGGGTACCGCTGAGCCGCTGCACTCAACACGGAGCCTGCAAAAAGTAAGAAACCAGTCATCTAATTAAAAGTCCCGCTGTCAAATATAAAAATTAAATTAGATGTTTTGTTTTGTTTTTCAGCAGAAGTGAGGATTCAGTTTTTGACAAAACACCCAAATTTAGTTAAATCTGAAAAATATCCAGACATAAGAGCTAGGGGAAAGCTCTGTAATACCGAACTATGTAGACTAATTTGGCAACATAATAAATATTGTAGAAACACATGTGTACTCGGGGAATCGGGAATCTGAATCATGAAATATGAACAAAAAAGAACTTATTATAGACTTCATTAGACTAATAAGAACAGAGCTCACTGCCCAAATTAGAGCACATTCATCACTTGAGAGGGATGCACGTGCACACATCGACGTTAATCAGGCTCATTTTAATTACTGAGTGGGATGAATGAAATACAGCCAGTCTGGTGTGGCAACAGCTGCAGCAGCACAGAGGCTTCCACCAGCTGTAACTGGAACCGAGTTGGTTTCTAGTCTAACTCGTGTTTTTATTGGTGTTTTATCCTCTTACAGATTAAAAAAGACCCTAACTTGACTTAAAATATGTGGATTTTAAACATTAAAGGTGCCTTCAGTAGGTCTCATTTGGTACAGAATCAAGAAGGAAGCATTGGATTAAATTATTAGAAAGAAAATGGCACCATTTATCAGCAGCTGTGAAAGAGGAGTGCTATGCCAAGTGGAATTATAGTTTGCACAGTTAAAATTAAACTTTTCCTGGTGCTAAAACCGTCGCCTCATGCAGATGAATAGTACACTCTTAGCAGATGTATTTGTAGAAGGTCATTGTGTCTTTGTCTTCAGAGTTGGACATGTTTATTTCTGTGTGGGAGGTGATCATATTCTATTGATTGATGACCTAAAAGTGATCAAAACCTTGAAGAATCAATACCGTGTTTCCACTGAAGGAGTTCTAGGAAATTTCTACAAGGTAATGAGGAAAACATGAAGAATCGGCCCTTTCAGGACTCTGCTAAGAAGTGAGCCTGTAGCGACCACTTCGGCAATGAGTAATGTCACTGATCAGTGACCGTCGTGAACAGCATTACAAGTTTAATTCTGTCAAATTGAATGTGTTCAGATGATGGGGAGAGTGGTTATGTGATGTAACAACAATTGCGTTCGTTGACCAGAAGAATGGCTGTGTTTTCCAGCGCTCTGTAAGAGGCCAGCAGACCAGAGCGGTTCGCAGATGAGTGTGAAGCATCTGGAGGGAGAATCAGCACTTCTAAATATGAGACCATGGTCTTGAGTCAGAAAAAGTTAAAATGCCTTGTCCAGGTCAGGGATGAGGTCCTACCTCAAGTGCCTGGGTTGTGTTCACGAGTGAGGGAAAACTGGAGCTTGAGATCGACAGGCAGATTGGTGCTGCATCTGCAGTGATGCGGTCGATCTACGTTCCCACCCTCGCCTATGGGTTTGAGTAGTGACCTTTTTAAGATCACGATACAAGAGGCCGAAATGAGTTTTCTCTGCAGGGTGGCTGGGCTCTCCCTTAGAGATCAGGTGAGAAGCCCGGTCATCCGGGAGGGGCTCATAGTAGACCCGCTGCTCCTCCACATTGAGAGGAGCCAGTTGAGGTGGCTCGGGCATCTGGTCAGGATGCCTCCTGGAAACATTTTTGTATCTGAGTACTAATTTCCCTAAAATAATAGTCTGTGTATTTTTACTACTAATCTAGAGTATGTAGCTCATGTTGCAGGGCTGTGATAATTTAAGACTTGTTGGAGAGTTAACATTGCAGAAGAATATTCAAATTTGCAGTTGAATTTCACTGAATCAGCACTTTTACACTTTGGTTGAAATGGTGAATGGTCTTGTGACACTTGCATGGCATTTGTGTAAAATGTTGCGCTGATTTTCTGCTTGGAATTTAAACTATATTACATTTTTTGTTGTTTTTAACTTATTCTCAATTAATTAATGACTTTACTTCTAGTTCAGGGTATTTTATTCTTCTTTTTGTCATCATTCTGTCATGACTTAGTCGCATGACTTTCCAGCTCTTTCTTAAATGTCCTTGCATTTTTGCGACTCGCAGAAATCTAATCGACTCAGTGACCCGTGACTCCGTAAACCCGCGTTCTGTACACTAGTGACTTGTATTGTGGGTGCTTTACCCTGCTTGTGGATGACAGGCACAATAAATAAAACTAGACTAGTAATGGTTAAGACTAGATGTGTGTGTGTGTGTGTGAGTACGTCAGGAACGAGGTGGGGGTTCATGTCGCTGAGGGTTTTCTTCAATTTCAAAATGGCAGCTGCTGTCACAAGTGTGTTTGCCTGTGTGTGCTTATGTGAAACAGGAAGCGACAGAGTGTCTCGCTGTCTCCAAACAGACACAGGAAGTTTAGATTTTTCTTTATGAACGTCCACTTGGTCTGAACTGTTTTTGAATTTACCCTCTGTCTGTAATGAGGAGTCTTATGGGTTCAGCTTTGGTTTCAACCCTGATGATATCATAAAAAAACACGCAAATCACACCCTAAATTGTATCAAATGCCCTTTTTCTGCTTTTCCAGAGCCTGCCTGGCCTCTCGTGACCCTTACTGCATCTGGCTTCGTACTGGGAGTTGTGCTAACATGGCGCCCGGGTTCAAGTATGTCTCTTTTTATTTATTTTCCATCATTCCTTTCCTTTTCTGTCTCTCTCCTTTCCGCCCTGCTCTGATTCTACTTAGCCATCATCAGTCTGACAGCTAATAAAAGCTCTGGCAATTCTGCTCATCCGTCTGCCATTGCAGCTGAAGGGTCATACATCTGAAAGTTGTAAATCTGTGATACTTTCACACTCGCGGGCGAAGTGAGACGATGGATTGAGAAACACAATGGGGACAAACAATGAAATGGATGTCTGAGGATGTACTGAATGAACTTTGGGGGTATAACTCACCTAAAGTGGGAAAAAACAGAACTGAGGCGAATTCCAACTCTGTTCTCTGACTTTGGTAGATGCACTCAGCGGCCGCTTCAGAGTGCATCTTAATGAAGCGACAAATCTGAAGGGTGATGAAACTTGTGGTTTTGGATCGATGGTGGCATGACCGAATCGGAGTTGACACAAAATTGGTTCATCACATGTTTTTGTTGTAGGTGTTGAATGTCACACATTCCAAGTGTGTTCCGGTGGACTAGAAATCTGATAACTCAGGAAACTATACCTGTATAAACGCTCATACATAAAATCCTCCGGCAGGTCTACACAGTGTGTCTGGAGCTTGAGTGCTTTGGACATTCTCGTTAATTTTCTCAGTCCTGACAAGTTTAGGTTTTTCCTGAATTCCCATGCTGTGTTTCATATCAACAGAGATATCTTTAAAACCTTACAAACTGATGAGAAATTATGAAAGAATATTGATTGACGCATTAATTAGCCAATGAAAGTTAGAAAACGTCCCTCCTTACCCAGTCTTCCCCAAATTCATACTGAGAATGGGTGATCAGACGAATTGAGGCCTCATCTTCATTGGCTGGTAGATCAAAAGTGCCATCCCCTATTGTCAACGTGTGTAGTTCTAAGCAGTCGCAGTACAGTATATTGTTGACTGACGCATTCAACAGCAAAGTCCCACATTAGGACTTCATGTGGTCTGCTTACGTAAACTGGTTGGGAGTGATTGGGATTGGTGGATCGCTACATGCAGTGTGTGCTCAAATAAATTGCCCTTCATCTTTTGTTGGACTGACGGATATCGGTTGGAAAACGTTTACCCCTCACCCAACCTTACTTCATAGCCACTTTGGACTGTTTAGACACCACTTTGTAATCCACCTCTGCATTGATGACTTGCGCCCGGATCACACCAGATGCGGAAGCGCGACGAAGCGCCGTGGAACGACGAGCGCTTCTAATCGGCGCCCTTGTTACCCTGCGCTCTCGGTCACATCAGCTGCGAAGCACCACAAAGACTCACGTCGTGCAGTGATTGTTTTGGCATGAGCTCTATTTTTTTTCGTGAGCCGTCAGTGAACAGTGTCAATTCTGGCAGGGAGTCAACCAAAGCAGAAGAGGCACGCCGGTAAATTTAACAAAATTAAACATTTTCAAAATAAAACACTGCGATTGATGAATGTGATCATTTTTGTGTATTGAAACAGACTTTAGAGGTGAAAATGAGCATGCACACGCACACACACACACATAGTGGAGAAAATAGCATTTCCATAATTTTAAATGCAGTTTTTACAGCAAAGCATGGATAAACATTAATAGCAACCACACCTTCTCACGATACCGGATGCTCTGATCTGGGATAAAGAAATATCTACGTGTCACGCGTTTGACTTAAATTTACCTTGTCCTTGTGTGAGTGTAAATGGTGATGGTCTTGTCATATCAACAGTACTGATCAGTGTAATCATAACATAACATTCATTTCAAACTTCAGTCATTTAAGCACAGATTAATGAAAGCATTTCATTATATTCTTATTATTATAAGTAACGATAAACAAATGTTTATTTAATGATCATTTAACTTACAAGTTTTAAATGTTCACATTTAATTTAAGAATTCATTCTTTGATTTAGCAACTAATCCAAGCTGCGAGTTATTCAGAGGCATGAAGAATGCTGTAAGACGATAAGGGAAGCTTGAGCCTCGAGGAGAGAACATCATTGTTGACAATACGTTATCATGTGTTCAGAGCTGCAGAGAGGCTCTGAGCTCCATACGCAGTCTCGTGTCTCCATTTTGACCAGAAGTTGAAGGGTCAAACTGTACTTAAAAACTGACCATTGCAGGACATTACACTACTGATTAGCTGGATCTGGTTTGCAGGGGCAGCAGACTATTAAGTATTTTCTTGAATGAAAACTCAAAAAGAGTCTTGATACCATTCTTTGTATCACTGTTTCACCCAAATGAAATTCTGGTCGTCTGATGCCATTATTTTCTCAGGACACGCTGAAAAATACCTTGTTCAGCTTTGTGAATGTGGCCGATGGCTGGTGTTCCAGACATGTGCAGCTTATTCTTAAATAATCACTCATCTGTGCTGCTGAGCTCCAGATTTTAAGCCAATAATGGAAAGCTTGTAAAAGGAACATAATCTTGGTGCGGGCAAGAGACAGTGAGCAAAATTCACTTGGCTCAGGTCTTATAGAGAGAAATAAAAGCAGGTTAGACTCACAGGTTCGTGCACATTTATTATTATTATTATTAGAACATTTGTGTTCCTTTGTAGAGGAATTGTTCTGTTTTTCCTGAAGAGTAACATAATTTAGTTTTAAAGGTTTAATGCTTTTAAAAAGACAACAATGAAAAGCCTGTCATTAAGCCTGATAAGTTTCCATTTCCGTTAATGTTTTTTTTTATTGTTATTTATATTTTTCACTCTTAAAATCCTAAACCTGCTGCCTGTTTTCTGGCCTTGACCTTGTTCCACTCAAAGCCATCACAGCTCCAAGACCGTTGAGGACGCAGTCGTTTCCAAGTCTCCGTGATTCTTCCACTGATTTTCTGCCTTTCACTGTGGCTGACTGCCTGCTGCTGTTTATGATGGATGGTATTTACAGATGAGGAGGCTGCAGATGATATTTAACTCTCTGTGGTTTTGAACAAACCTTTTCTCAAGAGGCAAACATGAAAGTAATACGTCTTCAATTTCTGGGGTACCGAAGGCAAAGCAAAAACCCAATAGCCATGGATTGATTGCAATGAAGTGCTGTATAGATGGCCGATCTACCAGATGCTTTGAGGTTATTGATTGAAAGGTGGCACAAGGTAATATATTAGATTTCTCTTGCTGCTAGGTGCTGCACAGTTTGTTTGTGCGTATAAACTTGGGTGTGTTTTTAAGCCTCGTCCGGCTCCTGAATATAGATGGACTAGACATTCATCTTCAGGCTGGAATTTCATGATTTGAATTTGGATCCAAAATTAAACAGGTTTTTTTGTACAAGTCACCTAAAGGAGCATCTCTGCATGATTCCACTGGTTAATTTACGGTATTTGCGTGTTTAAGGTAAAAACCAGTTTTTTTTCCATACATACTAGTTGTTCTGACGGCCTTGTAATTTAAAAATCATCATGTACCTGATGAAAAATGTTTACTGCTTTAATATAAACCATCAAGGACAAAGGTACCTTCGTAGTCATGCATCACTCAAGGCAGCCTACATAGTTTAATTGTTGTGACATGATGCTGCAACATGTGTCAAAGTTTCTCACCAATCCTTAAATTAACTTGGCTTAAATTAACAATTTGCTAAGCATTAGCATCTCCACCGCACAGCAGAACTCCCCCAAGTGTGTGTTCTTTGTGGGGATAAAACATCAACGTTGCAAATGAAACTGGGTCAGTGGTGGCGTTGCGTTGCTGTTAGCCAATCAGAAGCGAGATGTCCAGATATCAGGAAATAAGACTCCAAATCTTGCCGTCTTCTGCCACTTTCTCCTCCAGCTGACTTTAACATCCTCAAACTGGCGCACTGGAACTTTTTTCCCCCAGCGGACGACTTACAAGACCTTCATTCCTACCACTGCAAATGCATTAAACATGAGTACATTTGACCTTTAAAGTTGTTTTGTTTCAGTATAGTTTCTAGAAAGGCTCAGATTCTGGTTATGAAGGAGTATTTGATCTCAATTCAAACGTTACCGGTGATCTATGGTGTCTTTTTCTTGTATATAATCTGAATAAAGGCTCAATTATTGCATTTACAAATACTGATACATTTTAGGGTTTAATATTATCTTGAGCCATAGCGTGACATGAACACTGCTGGGTAAATAAGTAGTGTAATAGTTGCGTTGTTATCAGTTAATGAAGTCACACATGTTTTGTGCGCTGTGATCAGAGCTGCTGTGGTTTGGGACAAAATATGACACATTTACCAAATAGAGATTTAAGAGTGTGTGCACGTCCTGTTCTGAAAGCAGGCCATCTGTCAGCTGCATTTAGAAATGCACATGCTCAGCACCTCCTTGTCTAGTCTGTGTTTACACTTTTAACTGGCACCTCTTATCTGAAAGCCTGTCCCAGACCAAAGCTAGGCCTTTCACAGATAACAAACTCTTGCCTTTTTAGACTCAGGACCCCATTAAGGAGGATTCCCTCTCAATCCCAGTTGAGTTTTTATTTACGGTAGCGCGACTCGGGTTGCGAATGACCACGGTCACCAATTCTTAGAATTGTGTGTACTGAAACTCTAATTTCCCTCTGGGATTAATGAAGTATTTTTGAATTGAATTGAATTTAGGAAACAAAACAATGTGTGCATTATGCTAAAGCGTGCATGCTTTAAATATACTTTTATTATTTCTTTTGAAAGAAAATCGGTCTTCCAGGATAAAGCACCAGAACTGGCCCATTCAGACAGCTGTGTCCTTCTCCAGATTCTCATCCTGCTTTAGAAATCAAGGCTGCCTCGTTGCGCCAACACTTCCATCAAATGCAAACCCAATCAATGTCAAGCACAAATATTCCAGCAGGCATACATAATCCGGGTATTGATCTCTTATCAGACTGAATGTGACGCTCTTCTCAGCAGACAGCCTTTTGTATTTGCCCGACTCCTCTTGATCTGCCTCCTCCCGTTGATCGATGCGAGGAGGCGAGGGGGTCGCCTGTCTTTGAACACATCGACTTTTCAAAGA